CCCCCGTTTCAGAAACAACGCTAGAGACAAAGAGGGCATCGCCACACTACTGGGTGCAGGTGGCTGTGGGCACACACAATTCTGCAATCTTACCAATTTCTCTTTAACACGTCTGAGACATTCTTCTCGGGAGCACTCACGACCAGCCCAGCGGATGGCACCCACGGAGCTAAATGCGGCATCACTAACGCGACGCTGCGCCCCGCAATCACTGTGTACATTCTAGAAATTGCTTTTGGGGAATAAATCCCTGCTATCAACTCATTTATTTGTCATTTCCTTTACTCAAAATTCGGAGTACAAAGTACGTGCCCCCAGAACCATGACTGGAATTTTCCGCTTGTTTATATTCCATACAAATAGTTGGAGTCTATGTTTACTCAAGTCTTTTTTTTCCTCCCTCTCTCTGTGCCTAAATTTGTTTTCATTAATTTTTCCAAACAAAATCTCCCCACCCATGCCGCTTCTCTGCTCTTTTCCCGAGGTTTACATTTCCTTTTCAAGGAATCTGTAAAGTCGTGCTATTTTCTTTTCCGATTCCTCACAAGCCGTGCAGGTCATCATCCTCTTGGCTAGCTGTTCGCGTCCAGCCGCTGGTTGGCTGGTTGGCTGACGTCTTTCCTGCATCTCCACGTGGTGTCTCAAGTAGAGGACCGGTTTCGCTAACAAGCCAGGTTGCAGGAGCTGGAGGTCTTTTTACTCAGGCTGAAGAGGAAGGATAGTTCACACGCAGAGGGAGCTGACCAATGGTCTGGACGTGTACAAGCCTCCTGTCCCGCATGACAGTTGGGTGTATGCATGGGGGGCTGGGGGGGCTGCGTGCAGGCCAGTATGTTTTCATCATGAGAGCACGGTTCCTGCTGTAGGTGTCCGGCCTACCTTCCCCGGACCCACCGCCACTCTGCCACTCGCTACAGAGCCCAGAGGGGGACTTGACACAAAGCACACAGGCCAAGAAAGTGGACTGTTGATTGCCTTCCCTGCCCCGGTGGTGTAGTGGATTATGCATTGGACTGCCGACCACAAGGTCAGCAGTTTGAAACCAGCAACCACTCTGTGGGGGGAAAGATGAGGATTTCTACTCTCATGAAGGGTGACATTTGCGGAAACCCCCAGGGGCAGTTCTACTCTGTCTTAAGGGTCATGGAGGGTGAGTTTGCGTTGGAGCTCTCAGCAACAGAGACCGCACAATGAGCCAGCCCACTCGGTGCGGCTTCCTAATTCCTCACCATCCTGACGCTGCCAGGGGACCCCGGGACCGGAGACGGGAAGCACCTGCTCCCAAGTCACACAGTCTCACCTCACTGTGGCTCATGGTAGGGAGCTGCCCTCCACCCACTCGAGGTGTCCCCCCTCCCGGCTGCAGCAGGACACACTGGTGGCTCTTCCTAACAATTCACCACACCATCTACATATTGAGTGTCCATTCAAGAGTGGACACTTCATCTTCCATTGGAATCATCAGATGTCGAAGTAATTAAAACAAGCATCTGCGTGCACACACACACACACACACACACACACCATTCAAATATGGGTATACATCCATGTACCCACCCACTGCTGTCAAGCTAATTCTGACTCCCAGCAACCATGCAGGACAGGGGCTATAAACATTAAGGGCAGCAGACAAGGCTCATCGATCTTCCTTAGAGGGACTGGTGGGTTTGAACCACCAAGCTTGTGGTCTGCAGCCCAGTAGCTAATCCATGGGGCTGCGGGGGCTCCTTAGACACAGATAAGCACTCTGTACACACACAGCCACATGCGCAGGGCCAAGGCTGGCCATCTGCCTGGGGTGGCAGAAGAGCGGGAGAGATGGTGCCACAACCCACCGCGGCCTGCTGAGGAATGGAGGTGGCATACCTGAATAGGGTCCTGGGTCAGTCTCATGGGCCCAATGCGTACCTCTGCCGAAGAAACCTGCTGAATAAAGGAGATCACGTGAGCCAGGTCAAGTCTTACCACACTGACAGGCCCCTCCTCACACAGGCAGTCCGTGATGCCAAGAGGCGGACCCCCAACCAAAGGATGCTTGCTTACTGACCCGGAGACAGATGACAAACCATGTCGGGCGCAACCCCAGTTCTGCGGAAGAGCGTTTGCACCTTTCTGCATGGGAAACGTCTGGAAGGATAGTGTGCTAAATGCTAAGTAGTGGGATTTCACGGGATTTTTCTTTTAAGGGACCTTTTTCCACCCGAGGAATGTACTATTTTATCGCAGAAAAAAATCTGAATCTGATCATTATTTCCTGAGCCCCTATGACCCTCTCCAGAGGACACATAGATGCATTTTGAAGGCGTGAGAGCTGTCCCACTGTCTAGAATGTATCTTTGTCACCGTCATATTCAGTTCTGGAGGGTGCACTGCGGACGCTCACCCTCAATGGTCACGGACAAGTGTGTCATCTCAGTTGTATTTCCACAAATGAGTGAAGCACAGCACCCCATGACGGCACCCCTGTGCCGCATCATGCCAGGAAGGAGTCCGAGCCACCGACGGGCTCACGAGACAGCGCCCGCTCACTGGCATTGGCTGCAAGCGCAGTGCAAACCGTTGTCTTTGTTTTTAATCACTTCATTCCAATTTCTAAAACTGACTTCTCCCTCAATGAATCTGGCTGAAGCTCTTGGCCTCATCTCCTGGGAACACTTTCATTTTTCTGTCAGAGGCTGCAGGTGTTTGGGAAGCCGACCTCCCAGCCAGCACCCTGCTGAGCCCGCAGGTGAGGCAGACTCACCCAGCAGGCACCAGAGGGCACCCAACCTGGGATCATGCAGTGGCCCGAGAGCCAGAGGAGGGGCTGCATCAGGTGGAAAACAAGGAAGCCGGGGGCGCTCAGAAGTTTCTATCTAAAATACAACTCTCGGTCGCTTCCCATCCACTGCAGAGGAGAGTGAAGAAAACCAGAAATGCAGGGGAGCAATTCGTCCCAAGCATGGATGGACCGCATGACCCACAGCCTGCATGATCCCAAGACCAGAAGCATTAGATGGTGCCCCGTTACTCCTGTACGACTGACCACTCCTACCAGGATCACCGCAGGAAGAACATGCAAGGCTGGAGGATGGGGTGGGGGATGGAAACAAATTCATACAAAAGACTAGGATTATGGGCCTGACAAGAGCCTGGAGGGACCCCTGAGACTATGGACACCCTTCTGATCTGGATCCAGTGCCATTCACAGAGACCACCTGTCAGCCAAACAGCAGGTTCATGAAAGAACCAGTAACACCTCGAAGGAGCGTGTGCCTCCGAACCACCAGTCACACCAGCATGCGCCCCACATTGAAGAGGAGAAGGCAGAGGGGTAGGACATTCTGGCGGAAGGAGACCGGGGAGTGGGCCCAGCACGGACACCTTGTGGGGCGTGTAACCAAGGCCATGGATGCTCTCTGTACCAACCCTCAGTGGAAAATGGATCTGCTCGGCACACTGTCGCCTGAGGAACAATAAAGCAAATGCTCTTAAAAAAAAAAAAAGAAGAAGAAGGCAGGCCTGCTCTTTCGGCTGCATTTTTGAAGACACTCTCTTTTCTCCTTCTTTCTTGGGTCGAACTCCTGGGGCTCGGGGCTGTCAGTCCTCTCCAGGGCACGGCCACCACTGATATTCTTTTCCTCGCCCCCAGTGTCCTGGTGGAAAGAAGTGGAGCCTCTCACCAAACCAGCCAGCAGCATGATTCAAGGGCCCTCGAAGGCCTGCTCACCCTAGCTCTGCACCGGGCGGAGTCGTTTCTGAGGGCAAGGCTGCCTGGGAGCAGTGACCCGCGGTGATGGGTCCACCTGTCCAGTCTTCCAGCAGTCCTGCTGTAACTAAAGCTGACCCCTAGGCCTGGAGTCCCTGGCTCACCAAGCTGCAAGGAGTCTCTCCACTGTTCCCCTGCTGCCTTCTGGTCAAAGAGACATGTGCAAGTCTCCTATGCTTTTTTCTCAAAGCAAAAGCACGTCTTGCCTGGGAGGCAGCCGTGCTGACCGCACCTGGAGGAAGCTCGCAGCCCTGACCTGGGAACAACCAGAGTCAGTTCTCGTGTTGCTGGGCCCTCGGGTCCTGCCCCCCAGCTCTACCCCAAAGGCATTTTCCTTTGAAACCCATACCCCACCTTAAGAAAGGAGCCATGCCAGATTTTTGGCTAAAAAGGAATGATTGGAAGGGAAGGAGATGTAATATAGGGGGACAAATCTGAATAATAATAACCCGATAGGGGGGCTTTGCCCTCTCTCCCTGTGATGTCAGCATCTCCCTCTCACCCCAACAATCCACCTGCCCAATGGCTTCTCCAGCCAAACCAGGGCCTGAAGCTACTTGAGGCACGAAAGAAAATGTTTACAGAAACAAACGTTGAGACCCTGAACTGAAGGTCAAGAAGGAGAAAGAGCACTGCCGAAAGCACATAGACATTCCCCGGAATAATAACGCAGTCCGAGTAGACACATTGGCTATGCGCTTTTCTGAAAGGCATCAAGAGCACGGAGTGGTCCAGTGGCTATCCTTCCAGGAGCTCCTGGGTGGTACCAATGGTTAACACACACTTGGCTGCCAACCAAAAGGCTGGCGGTGCAAGTCTACCCTCAGAAGGAAGCCCTTATGGTCTACCTCCCAAACCCAGTCCCTGGAGATGCTAAGGAACACAGGTCGGCTCATGGCCAATGCGATGCCAATTGGCGTCCATATGTCAGGAAGCAGACTCCTTAAAGGCTACCTGGGGAGCACCTTCTGGCTGTGGCAGCATTTCCCCAGGGCCTCTCGGTCCCAGCATTGTGCTCAGTGCTTTTCTACGTGGGATCTTAAGCAGAGACAAGCAACGGTCTTTGGGTGACATGAAGTTTCTAAAGCAAGGCTTCGTCTAGAAGCAATCTCTTTCCTGCCTAAAGACCGAGAAACTTTCTCCCCATAGCCCCCACCATTCCCTGCCAGGGTCCGTCTTCTTAACCTCTGCCTGGTTAGCCCAGCGGGAAAGTGCGCGCTGAGCCCCCTGTCGAAGGACAGTAGAGTCCAGAACAGGAATTGTAAGGTGGGTGCTAGAGGGTCCTTTCCAAAACCCCTGTTTCTCTCATCTCCATCTAGCCAGTCAGGTGCTTCCACTTCACCAGAAGAAACTCATGGCGTCTCCATTCAGCAGTTCCAGTCCTGACCCACACTCGGCTTCATCTCTCACAGTTTGTTCCTCTTTCTCGGTCTGTAGTCCCAGTTTTATGACCTTAGTTTCTGTGCCCTCTTTTCTGAACGATCCCCCCAGAATTTCAGAGCCTGTCCTTGGTGGCAGGGAGGTGAAGGCAGGGATCGGAGGGACATTCACAGCAGGGATGGTCACAAACAGCAGATCCCAGAGTTCTCTTACAGGAGACTCCTACCGCAGGCATGACACCCATTTGCAAAATGGCAACATGAACGGAAACAGGTGTTGGGCTGCTAACGGAAAGGTCAGTGGTTCCAAGTCACCAGCTGCTCTGTGGGAGAAAGATGGGCCTTCTGCCCCTGTACAGATCTGAGCAGTCCCACTTGGTCCCACGGGGTGGCGATGACTCAGAACCGTCGCGATGGCAGTGGGCTTGGTATAAAGCCATGGCAAAGCGACGTCTCACGTCAAAGCGTAAACCTCGAGGGGCTGGGGGTGCACCAGTCTTCAATTAGCATATAGGCGCTGACATCAGGAGTGACCACGTGAGGCAGGACCTAGACGCTAACAGAAGGATCACCAGGTAATACAAGCCCAGCAGCTGAGAGCAGAAGAGGGCAGGGCCAGAGCCTGGCGGGAGAAACGCGGCTCAAACTGGAGTCCGCCCCAGTGCTTCATGAAAAGGAGTGGCTATAGCTCCATGTGGTGAAAAACGGATTTTAAAAACTTTACTTTTAACCATGATAAATAAATAAATACACACACACATATACGTATATATAATATCTGCCAATTCAATCATTTTTTTGGGTATAATTCAGTGATATTATTTTCTTTGTGTTACCAAAATTAGGTAATTGTCTTATCAAGAGATACATTTATTTTTGGAAGACATAGGGCATCGCAAGAGAATTTTATCGCTCTGAGGAGGAAGAAATCCTTTTTAGCCAGCACAGTAGGTCTCAGGGTTTCTTGCACAGACACACGTGTGCACATGCACACAGCATGCAGACAAAGTGTTTGTTTTTTCTTTAGGGTTCCCGTGTGTACATATGATTCTTAGGAACATCCATAGGATCGCAAGGGGTTCTGAGAAATGTAGTCCCAAGATATTGTCACGGAATCTACACATGCTGTTCATATCTCCATCTTTGCTCTCTTGCCTGTCTCACAACCAGGACACGGTTCTTTTCCAAATTAATCCACCACCATTAACAGAACCTCCCCAAAGCAGTGACTCCCCAGTGGTGATTAAGTGGTAGAATTCTTATTTTCCACATGGGAGGTGTGGTAGCTGTATAATCTGTTGTCAGTAGTCATGTAATCTGTTGTCAATTTGAAAGGATTAAGAGTGAAAGGGTGGAGTTTAGCCTGTCAATCAGGTCTCAGCTTGATGACCTCATTTGGAGGCGCTAAGGAGATAAATAGCTCTCTGGAGGCAGGGCACATGCTCACTCCCTGGGAGACATTGCAGCTGAGAAGACACATGCAGATACGCTAGTGCCCTGAGCCAGTGCTGAGATGCTTACACCACCACCGGGTCCACAAGACTTTCTACCCACTGGCCTGTGATCTTCCTCCATTCGGCATCATTGCATGTGTTTCATGAGTCTGAAGAGGACTTTATAGATTGGTATAGGACATATGGGCTAATATCAGACTTATGGACTTGATCTGGTCTGGCCTGGGACGAGCTCTTTCTTAAACGCATATGAGTGTCTATGAATTTTCTCTAGTCTTCCCAGACTAATGCAGGAGGCATGTGTCTTAGCCAGTACACCACAAACACAATGACTGCTTGACTGTTAGAGGAGGCTTGTGTGTTACTCTGATGCTGGATAGGTTCTGTGATGCCTCCAAAGACAAGGAAGAAAGACCTGGAAATTTACTTCCAAAAATGAGTCAATGAAAACGTTATGTACCACAATGGCTGCAACCCATTGTACGTGGGGTTCCATGAGTTGGGGACAACTCCAATGCAGCCAACAACAGCCGCCCCCACCCCCTGCCCTAATAACCACTAAAAAGCTTTGGTCTCTAGACATTCACCAATTTCAAATCATACAGTATTTGGCCTTTATGACTGACTTATGATTTCACTCAGTTCCAAGGTTCATCCATCCTGTACCATCTATTAGGACATCATTTCTGTTTACAGAGTGTCATTGGTTTCTAACTGTGCAACATTTATAATGGCAAACACTTGTGCATACACACACATGTAGACAACAGCATACACACACACACACACACACACACACACACACACACGCATAAAGGTACTTCAAAAGC